TGACCCACAATACGGCCGGATTCCTCTGAACTGACAAACCTTTACCTGCCTTTAGATTCTTATTTGAAAATTAACTAAAAAGCGAACTTTGAAGGCATTGTTCTTCTCTCGAAAGCCGCTCCAAACTACTCGAAACCGAAAGCTTAGATGAAGTCCAGTTTGTGATTGACAGCTGTCGCTTCGCTAGCCAATCAAATTATTTGAACAATTCTAACAAGGATTGTGATTGGCTTATTTTAGCGTGCTTTATCAGAATACAGAGCACGGCTGACGCCACTTGGAAAATAAAGTTTGGTTTGAAAATTCAGCCGAATGCGTGGGAAAATTATTGGATTCTTTATCATAAAACAAATAAAGAAGCCTCGACTGTGCTCTGTTCCGTTGTAAAGCACTTAGGAAGCGGTAGAGCACTCAAGAAGTGGGGAAAAACATTCGACTTCGTCTCGTGTTTTCCCCTACACTTCTAAATTTAGTATCCATGCCCCTCTCGCCCTACCGCGACTAATGTTACCACGCGCGTTGGATGGATGTATTCGTGGAGGTGATAATACGTGTTAAGCTGTCTTGGCTCTCCTCGCGAGTAAACAGAGTGAACAGAGGCTCTCGTGCTGGCAGCTTTGCGCAAGTAAGATTTTCCACAAGTGACTCGGTCTTTGTAAACTTTTCGTATTTCCAACTTTGTAGGGTGTAATATATAGGGTGTAATATATATAGGGAGATTTATGAATTTTGCAAAAGACTTGCAGGGAAGATCCAAAGATATTTTGACCTAATAGAGCTAGACTGAAAACAAGGTTATGAAATTTTTTTTTGAAAAACTTACAAGCAACTTTTTGACAAAATGATAGCCCCTTTGAGAGACTGAAATGTCGAACAATTTATGGCTAGTCTTGGAAATAAGCCCAAGTTTTTTTCTAGGAAAACAACGGCGACAGATCTTTCATAGCTATCCAAACCAAACTTTGAATGGAACCTTGGAAGGATACTGTCTTTCACATAGTAGAATAACTTGCAAAAAATTCCCACACATTCCAATGCTATGGATTGGTCGCCAATTCATTTATTTCACGCCCGCTGGGATTATAATCATCGGAAAAAACAAATCTGATGAAATAGTTAATTCCTGTGAATGTGTACGCATACTGCAGTGTAGTCACTGTGTACATGTAGGAGAAATTGTAAGGCTTTTTTTTTTTTTTCGAAAATCTCGTTTTTAAACGATGATGTTTATGAAGTTGTTATCGGAGAAACTACCCATTCGAGCAAACCACCCTTGCCAAAAATTTCCACATTTTCTTTCTAGTCGAAGCAACAAAGAAACACAATAAGTTTGGTTGGTCTTGTGCAGTTTCGTTGGCAACTACTAGAATCGCAATGTTGTTTCCAAATGACATTATCTTCTACTTTGCTTTTAACCGTACTGTTGGTACTTTCTCTCTAAAAGAAAACCGTGATGGCTGGTTTCCATATACATAACCGTTGCCAGATTGCTACGATCATTGAGATAGAAAGCGAGAAAGTGATCGTTGTTACTACGATCGCTGTAGAGTGGTTTCTGCGTAATCAAAACGATCACTGAACTTTTTCGCAGTGATCGTATCCATCATATGGACTCCATATGAAAACCAGCCCTTAGTTTGAAGACATCTCTCGTCATAACCTGGGAAAAAATGACGACAATCGTGTCACAGATGTCATGGGGTGATTTTCACTTGAGTGACGAAAATTTCTCCGTAGGAAAAAAGATGGCGGCACAATTCCATACGAACCTTACACAGCCGATAAAGTACTAGGAAAGCCATATTTTTGGAATATTTGTCCCTATGCTAACGACATTGTGTATGCTAGGTTTGAAGATGCTAGGACTTTCCTGTTCGTTTTTATAAGCGGCGTTGTTGAAGTTTTCGTGAGCTGAGAATTATGGGTAAATGCACCGGTCGCCATCTTTTTTTCCTAGGTGGATTGGTTTTGCATCACGACGTTACAAGATTGATTAAAAACAACAAAACAAATCATGACTCGTCCGCTCATGTTTCCTCGCGCTTTGCTTAAGCTACATAAATTTACTTCGAGTTTTGATTGGTTCATTGTCGAAGTGTGTTTTCCTGTTGCTGTGGGACGCCATATATGTAGTGAAGGACACCGCGTCATTCTGATTCCTATCAGGAGCAGGAGTCGTTTCAAATTGAAAGCAGTATAATTTAATTAAAATCCTAGTATAAAAAGTCTTCTTCGTTTGCAGAGAGTTAATAAAGATGTTGGTGATGCTCTCGACCTATGACAACATTATTACGTTTAGTGGTCAGGTGCTTGAATAATTTAAGAGCCTCAATCGATCTTACACGGTAATAACCGTGGATATTAAAAGAGTATATTTTTTTTATTGAACGAAAAATGAATTTATAATTTTACCATAAATTATTCCTTCTACGAGTTAGGTAGCCCTTGAGTATACTTGTTTCTCATTTAACCCGTTTTATGTTTTCAATGGTCTAGAAAAACAATATCATTAAAGCAAAATACTTATGCCCCGTGTGAGGATCGAACTCACGACCTTCAGATGTCTTAATCAGATTATGAGACTGACGCGCTGCCTTCTGCGCCAACGAGGCATCTATGAGTTTTCAGACTGCTAGATTTACATGCAAACATTTTACTGCAAACTATTAATTTGAATTTAATCTGAACGTTTCAGTTCAATTCTGTTACATACATTACTGAAAGAGTGGCGTGCTTTCTTTTTATTGGCTTAACAGAAAATAGAGTAAGTAAGGAACATAAAAAACTTAAGCATAGAAATAAAGAGATTCGTCTTAAAACGTGTATACCTAGATTTTCGGTAAAATTTTGAAGACAATTTCAGTTCAACTACACTTTCTCTAGGAAACATGCCTTCAATTTTCAGTTCAGACCTAATGGAACGCAGCTCACGATAATAACCTACTGAACAGTACCAGCAAATGTTTCTTGGAAGTTGTCTGTGTCTTTAGAAGTTCGTCGACAGTTTCCACCAGGGAGATCCCCCATTCCTTTTAGAGTTATTCGTTCTTGCTTGGCACTCTTATTATCTTGCATTCGGCAGAAACAACACACAATGCTTTTCAATCCACGACGGTAACTTTCCACAAATGACAGACAGATTATTGGATTGACAACAGAAGATGACAAAAACATGCAAACTGCTATAAAGGTAAATGATATTTGAAAGGCACAAGAAGGTCTCAAGTAATTTACGAAACTTAACACAGTGTATGGAATAACACAAATGTAAAACAGCACCAAGATAACAACCGCCATTTTAGTAGCTTGTCTTCGCTTCTTTACAGAATGTTGTCGTTCATATTGTGCGACATTCATAAGGGCTTTACTCCTCCTTTTTAAGGAAATCACTATTGCGATGTATAAAACGGTTACTACAAACAACGGAGCTAAAAGGCTGATAGTCACATGAAGCCAGTAATATCCTTGAAAAGCTCCCTTGTTGGGAAAAATTGATTCTTTGTTTACTAAACTACACAACGTGTTATTCCTATATTCAGCAAGTCCCGAAGATACGAGCGATGGAAAATAGAAAACACATGCTAAAAACCATGTAGAAACTATAACTATTGTGCGAATCTTGCTTGAAATAAGCCCAACTTTTATTGGAAAAACCACGGCGACAAATCTATCAATTGCTATCCACACCAAGCTTTGAACAGAAACAAAAAGAGACACTGAGATTGTGAAGCTATACAACTTGCAAAACGTCGATCCTAAGATTCCACTCACGCGCCAATGCCACGAGTCGGTCACCAATTGAGTTACCTGATCAGGAATTACAACCAGTGGGAAAAGCAGATCGGACACAGCCATGTTGACGATGAAATAGTTAGTTGTTTTTCGTAAATCTCGACGCTTGTAGACTATGATGATTATAAAGATGTTTCCGAAAAAACTTCCCAGTAAAATAAAACAACATGCGCAAAGTTTAGAAATTCTCGCTGCATTCGAATCAACAGAGACACATGTCCCGTTTTGATGCCCAAGTGTACTTTCACTCCCAGCCACTGTGATTGTGGTGTTGTTTCTCAATGACATGATTTCCTCTTTTGGCTCTCAGCCGCGTTCTGTCGGCGCTAGCGTTTTAGATCAGAAGCAGAGCGTAGATCTAGATTACATCATTCATCTCAGTTCAATCGGAAATGAATTTTAATTCTACCGCTTCAATGTCATCAGTCAAAGGTTTGATTTAAAAGTCATTGCAATTTAGTTTTATCCGCAATTTCTAATAAAGAAAGCCAGACTGAATCAGCCAGAAGATTCATTTGGCGTGCAAACTAAAAGTAAAGGTACATAGAGATAACATGACTGTGTACTGTACTAAACATACAACACAATTACTGTGGAAGAAATTATTTTTTTCTGTCTACTTTTGCAAACAAATAATTTCCTTGACCTCATAGAGAGGAAGTAATTTGACATTCTAAGCATTAAACCTCATTAAAACGTAATAGAAAAAGGCTTTCCCTGTTCAGTAGCGTCGAGTAACGTTAACAAGAGTGAATGTCCATAAGATTAAAGTAGGCAAGATGAGTAAGCTGCCATGATGGTTACCTTTCGCTAAGCTTTATATTTTTTTGTCCCCTGTGGCCCCTATGGGCCTCAAATATCACGTAAAATCGCCCAAGTCTCTTACTGAAAATTCTCAAAGAATGTTCTAAATATCATAAAATGTTTTCTAAATTTCTCGAGAAACTCTTTAAATATCTCTTATTTTCGTTTTGAAAATAAACCGATTTTGAATCATTTAGACAAAAATTTTCAAAATTTTCCTGTAGTAATAGGAGTTGGAGAGGAAGATTCAGGCGCTTCGATGTTACAGGCACCCGCCATTAATTTTGGAAAATTGCTGCTTTAGCACTTTTAGTAATATGGAATACACTTTTTAAGGGCGAAATTGATGAAATGGATTGTTACTGGCATAGAACTGAGTATTATCTCAAGAAAATGACGGGAAAAACACAGGGCTAGCTCAATAACAAAAAAGATATAAATATTTCTAAATATTCCCAAAATTTCTACATATCTCAATATTTTCTAATCACCTTGGAAACCTCTAAAAACTGCCCCCAAAATATCCGGATATTTGTGGGAAGGCCTCGGCCCCTAAACTCGATCAGGCACTGAATCATTTAAAAGCAACACGATCGCGAATATTTTAAGATTCTATTCCTCCGTTTTCTCCTTTGCTTTAGTATATCAAACACTCGGGGCATTGTTTTACAAAATTTCCAAACATCTCGAAATTCGCTAAAATAGATTCCGCTGCGCGCCGTCTTTTGGTGTTTGGAAATGCTGTATAACACAGACTCAGGTCTTAATAAATCTACTAAAAAGGGGGGCGGAGGTTAGATTGGAATCTTCATACTCGATTATGAGGGAAGGGGAGGAAAGATTTTCTCTCCTCTTCAAAAAGGAGGAGGGGAGGATATGGCAGGGGCTCCTGTTGGCCTAGGTGCCTAGGTTTATTGCACCTGATTAATCCGTAGTGGTTCATGAAACAACTCTAAAATCAACCAGCGGCACTTATGAACATAGGACATATTCAATATTGTTTTCTGTAAATAAATGACAACCTTAATTTACTACTGGTGAATAAATACCTGTGTGGCGCTTTCCATTCGGAAACTGCGAGAAGTGCATGATTTGCAAAATAGAAATGAATTTCTCATTTAGCATAAAACATGTACTCAAAAAGTACGCGTATAGTCCCTTCTGTTTTTGATTCGCAAAGCTTCCATTGTATAGTATTCTTAGTTATTCTTGATTCTGAAGTATTCCGCAATGTTATCGAAATGACACAGAACGATTTTGTACAAAGAAATTAAGTCAGAGATTAAAATACTTGCTATTAACTCAATGTTCCAATAAAATGTCTTGCTGAAAATTTTAGCTCAATGTTGGGGACTAAATGTTTCCAACAGTTTCCAATGCTTGTGAGAAGTTGTTGCTGTCCTTAGAAGCTCGTTGTTGTAATTCTTCACTTAGGTTTTTCATCCCTTTTAGAGACACGTGCTTTCGTTTTGCCACTAAGTTATTGTTCCGTTTGCCGCAGGGACATAAAATGCTTTTCAATCCGCGACGATAAGTTTGAACAAATGACAGACAAATTACTGGATTAACTATAGAAGATGAGAAAAACATTAAGTACGCTAGCCACTCAAATAATCTTACAAAGGCACAAAAACGTCTCCGGGGAAATAGGAAATGAAGTACTGTGTATGGAATGACACAAATGTAAAATAGCACTAAGATGACAACCGCCATTTGAGTAGCTTGTCTTCGCTTCTTTAAATAACGTTGTTCAGCTACAGTTGGTAAGGTGTCCGTGACGGCTTTATTTTGTCTTTTTAACGAAATTGCTATGGAAGAATATAAAATGGTTGTCACGAACAACGGAGCAATAAAACGGATGGTCACATGCAACCAGTAATATCCTTCTACAGCTTCTGTGTTGGGAAAAATCGATTGTTCATGTTTGTTTGCTATTCTACAAAACGAGTTATTACCAAGTTCAACAAGTTTCCAAGTTATCAGCAAAGGGAAATAGAAAACGCCTGCTAACACCCACGTAGAAACTATAGCTGTTGTGCGAATCTTGCTTGAAATAAGCCCCAGTTTTATTGGAAAAACCACGGCGACAAATCTATCAATTGCTATCCAGACCAAGCTTTGAGCTGAAACAAGAAGAGACACTGAGCTTGCGAAAAAAAACAACTTGCAAAAAGTTGATCCTAAGATTCCACGGACGTGCCAATGTAATGAGTCAGTCACCGACTCAGTTATTTTAACTGGGAGTACAACCAGAGGAAAACCTAAATCTGACAAGGCCATGTTGACGATGAAGTAGTTAACTGTTTTTCGTAAGTCTCGATTCTTGTAGACGATGATGATTATGAAGACGTTCCCGAATAAACTGCCCAGTAAAATAAAACAATATGCACAAAGTTCGATAATTCTCTCTGCATTCGAATCAACAAAGATACATATCGAGTCCTGATGGCCAAGTACAGTTTCATTCCCAATAAAAGTGATGGTCGTGTTGTTTCTCAATGACATGATGCTCTGCTTTGCATTTCAGAAGCGTGTTGTTGGCGCTAGAACGAAGGTCAAGCGAATGCATCCTTACCTCCGTAATAACTGACATGATTGAAAAGAAATGTTAATTTTTTTCCGGTTCGAAGTCATCAGTTAAAGATTCAATTAAGAGCAACGGAAAATCAATTTTTGCTTTCTTTGATTTCTCAAAAAGAAAGAATATTGAATTGGCGAAATAATTCATTTGGTTTTTTTTCATTTGGTATTACCATTTGGATTGTCTTCTTTTCTGTTTTCTTTTTCAAATAAATCATTTCGTTTACCTCTTAGAGAGGAAGCAATTTGACATTCCGAGAAGTAAAACGTAATTAAAACTTAACAGAAAAAGGTTTCCCTGCTGTCATTGAGCAATAGTTACGTTATGGCAGATGGAAGTTCAATTGTGAATGTAAACAGCCTTACAGCCTTTTGTAATCTGGTACAGTTGAGAACAACGGCTTTGAAATTAGAAAGCTGTCATGATGATTTAGTATAGCGGGTCGCACATTTCCGCTGTTAGCCGGGCCGTAAATCTTTCCAAATAAAATGTGGCAAGGGTTCTCCTTACCTCATATAACCTAAAACCTCGGTCCGAACTGAATCATTTCAAGGGAAACAAGGATAGTCTTGTAGAGCAGCTTGCGCGGTGCATTTCCGGTGGAATTTCGTTCTACACTGATAGTTGCCATGGACATCTCGAGCTCGCTGTGTTATCTAAACTTGATTCCATGTGGGGTTATTCATTTGTCTTAATTATTGCATGTTTACTAGAACTACTGAAAACATGTACATATACATATTCACAAACATCGATGAAGTAATAAGGCGAGAAGAACATCGTTAACTCTATATTTGATGCAACTAATAATTTTGTACACATTACATCCAAGACCAACGTTTAATCAGCTACCTGGGTGCTTTCTACTATACTAAAATTCCCAATATTTAACTGATTTCAGTGATTGTAAATTTGAACAAAAGAAGCTTTGTTTTCATCGTTAAAAAGTCCTAACTTTGAGACTTTACTGTTGAAATAACCTAGACCGTGATTAACCTGTTAATCATAAAAATTACAATTTCCTCGGTTGTGATTGGTTTAAAAAATGCCTATTTTACACTAATTCACTCGCCAACTTGTTATCGGGCAGTTTGTTATTGGACAGTTCAATAAGCCAATCACATTCAAAATTGTAGTTTAAATCAACCAATCACATTCAAAGTTGTAGTTACGTGCGTGCGTGCGTGGTGTTTTTGGCGCCTAATTAAGAAGTTTACGAAACCACGACGCTGACGCCGAGGACAACGTCGATTAAAAAATGAATTATATTTGACCTACGAATCTCGGGATACTCTTAAGTCATTTACTTTGTTTATCACCGTGAAAACTATCGCAAAACTCAATCCGGAACACAGCGATAAATTTGAAATAAAAATTTAAAAAATTAGCCGTCGTGGTTCACGTTCTCCAGACAACGCAAAATTTGGTCATTTTACGTTGTTGTTTTGCAGAGGACGGCAAAGAAATGTACCAAGAATTATAACGCACGTGCACAGCCATTGTACTGCTCATTTATTCTTTTGTTCAGTGACGTTCCCGTTGCTGCTGCCGTCGTGGTTTCGTAAACTCCCTATTGCCGGTAGGAGGCGCGGTGACCTTAGAATGTTTACATCTCCTTTGTAGGTCAGTTTTAATGCAAATTTTCCCTTTCTTTCATAACTTGGCTATTCTTCTTTTCTCGAAAATTGTAATTTTCATGATTAGTTGGTAATAAGACTTCGTGTCGTCCAATTCGGTCTTTAATCAAACTCTTGATAAACAAATCGGACTCCCTCTGTGCGGTCGTCCGATTTTGTTATCACTGGACGCTTTCTATTCGACCAAAAATTCTGGTAAGAATTTCCGGAAATTTCCATTGGCGAATGGTACAGACTTTTCCAGTGGGGAAAACGACAAGCCGCACAGTTTTGTTCGCTTGGAATTTTTCAATGACTTCGAGGTTTAAATCGCAAATATAGAAGCAAACAGAATACTGATATGTCGACATCGTGACTTTTTATAGACCACAACAGCAGGGACCTTATACAAACCACAACGGTAGCTAAAAAGTCGCAAAACAAAGGGTTTAATGAGTCG